GAACAAACAATAAATATAGAAGTTGACTAAAGTAGGGCTAGGCACGGGCCGGGTTGGGGCGGGTAATGCCAAAAAATGGAACCACCGGTTCCATATATTCTACGGGCCGGGTATTGCAGTTATGAAACTAGGAACCGGACCTTACCCGGCCCCTTTGAAACGGGTCGGTCCAGTTCGGGTTTTTTGGTTCCTGTTTGTATGTCTTAAAAATAACAACTTACAAAGTTCCAAAAATCAATAATATAGGGCATTGGAAAGTCTCAAAATAACAACATACTTCCTCCGTTCGGAATTAATTGCAACATAGCAACGGGCACACATCTTAAGAAACTTTGATAAAGTTTTTTTCTTCCTATTTTGTCCTCCTTTTTTGTCTCAAACTCCACCCACTTGATGCACCGCACAAACTTCTGACAATCAAAGTCATCCTATTCCTTTTCCATCTTTGCCATGGATTCTTTATACGGAGTACTATTTCAGTTTCTTACATTCTCCTATCATCTTCCTTTCATCGTTCTTCGTTGATTTAAGTATTCTATAATCGGTCTCGATCTATTTTCTCTTACAGTCTAAATGTCTAATTTCTCCGATATTCTTGGTTGGTGATTTAATTATTCTCTGTATCTAGATCTGTCAAAGGTTGGAGGCTTGGAGCTCCTAGGAAAACACATGCTTTAGGGTTTATTAACTGGGCAAATCTTGTGGGAGTATTGCGAAAAATGTAATTGCCATTCAGGATTGTTTGCTGAAACTCCAATATAAAGAAACAAAAAGCTACGGAAGGAGATGGTAGAGAAAAAAGTGAAATAAGAAAAACAGAGAGTGAAATAGAAAGAGCTTCACCTTATGGAATGGAGATTGTGCAGGGATAAAAGGAGAAAGATGAAAGCGCAGGGGAGAGGTTAAAAAGCAATCAAGAAATTGGGACGGCGCAGGTGGATAATATTTGGGGTTAGATAAGTTGGGGGTATAATAGTTATTTCAGTTATCTATTGTTACTAAATTTAGTAATGTTGCAATTATTTTGAAACTGCCGAAAAAGGAAAGTGTTGCAATTATTTAAGAACGGAGGTAGTACTCAATAGTCAACAAGGTGCACATTTAACAAAAATTGATAACTTCATGTATTTAAGTTCCAAACATTCAAGGAAGTTCCAAAAATCAACAACATAACCACTGGTAAGGAAAACTAATTCAGTAAGAATAAACAAACTATTTTTCACAGAAATATTCATGTTAACAAACTAATTAAGAGAAATGACCACATCTAAACTTCGAGAAAACTATCTGTTCAGACTATTCTAAGTAACACCATTGGATTAACGACACCTATGATGCCTCTGAAAAGTTTTCCTCATATTACCCCTTAATTTCACTTGATTCTCTTAAATGCTAAGCTCAAACTGAAGAATACATCAATAAAAATGAAGATTTCAAAGTACTAGAATACGCACGAGAGACGGTTTCTGCCATTTGGGCTAAGTTGTGAGAGGCCTAAACATTAATGAATCAGTACTTTGTATATACGGATTAGTATATATAACAGGCCGGGCCGGGTACCCGGTTTTTTTTTAATATTGGAACCGGCCCGGGTCTTAAAAAAATTACCTGACCATACCCGAACCGTTTTTAGGCAACAAAAATTGGCGCCGGCTCATTTTAGACCCGAACCGCCATTACCCGGACCGGACTGCGATTCCGAGACCCGTTTGTCCACCCCTAGAGTCAAGTAGTGAAATAACAACTACTTGAATTGGCCTACTCCATAATATATATGGTATATTATGCAAGACAAATATTTTTGACAAATATTTCTGCCCGAAACGCCGTCTGGCCACCTCCATTTGAGGTGCTTTTAGAGACAATTTTTTGATGATATTTTCTGAGCATGTTTTACATAAAGTGTAGATTACATTCACCAAATTCACCATAAAATTCAACCGAGAAGTGAAGTAAATAAATTTTTGAAAAACATTGCATTTATATATATATATATATAGGACTACTCAAGTCCAGCCGAAGGGACGGGAGTAGCCATCAAAACTTCACTGTTTGGGGCGGTTCCCGGTAGAATTTTTTGATGAATTTTTTTGAGCATGTTCCTCATCAAGTCTAGTTTGTCCATACCGAATTTCAGATCAAACTTCGACCGGGAAGGCAGTAAATTAAATTCTTGAAACTTACTACACTTTATATGTGCGCAGAATGTGCAGTAAGCTTCTAGAATTTATTTGACTACCTTCCCGGTCGAATTTTGAGCTGAAATTTGATATGGACAAACTAGACTTGATGAGGAACATGCCCAAAAAATTTCATCGAAAAATTCAACCGGGAACCGCCCCAAACAGTAAAGTTCGGACGACACCACCCGTCCCTCCGGATGGACCTGAGCATTCCTATATATATATATATATATGAGATCTCATACTAACTAGTTCTCCCATGCTAACTCGTGAAAACTCCGACAACCGGTGGTATTTTTGGCTCAAATTTTTTGTGTATGTTCCTCATCAAGTCTAGTTCATCTATACCAAATTTGAGCAAAAAATTCAATCGGGAAGGTCATCAAATGATTTTTGAAAGAAAACTGGTCCGGAATATACATATAAAATGCAGTTTTCTTTCAAAAATCATTTGATGACCTTCCCGATTGAACTTTTTGCTCAAATTTGGTATATATGAACTAGACTTCATGAGTAACATACACAAAAAGTTTGAGCCAAAAATACCACAGGTTGTCGGAGTTTTCACGAGTTTGCATTTTAAGCATGGTTTGCATTTGATCTCTTACCTATATATATATATATATATATATATATATATATATATATATATATATTGGCGTAGAGTTTTTCAATAACTTATTTAGAGCCCGTTTGGCAGCACAAAAATCGGCTGGATTGGCTGATTCTGCTGAAATTTATGAAGTTCTGACTAAAGTGGCTGATTCTACTGATTTAAGAAAAAATCATTTTTAAAATATATTTTATTAATAAAATAAAGAAAAAATTATATGTAAAATAGCTAAAATGATTATCTCTACAGTAACTTCAGCCAATACAGCCAGAAAAGTAACTTCAACCTTTTTTTTTTTTGCTTATTACACACCTCAGCGCGTGAAAACAAAAGTTACGTGTTTGGTGAAAAGTTTGCTTGATAAGTCTGATAAGCCAAAAAAACAGTGTTTTTTTGGCCTCTTAATTGATTTCCCGATTGAATTTTAAGCTCTAATTGATTTCAATAATGTATTTCCATAGAATACATGCTCACAAAATTTCATCAAAAAGTTTCACACATAAACCGCTCAAATGACATGCAATTTATAAGTTCAGTTCCTGCCTAGAAACTGGAACCAAACCCGAACCAATCAATTGCTATAGAAACCAAATCAAAAAATAGTGAAGTCCAAAATTATAGGAACCTACCGAACCGAAAAATTCAATTCAGATCGGCTATCCAAGTTTTACGATTCCAAAACCCAGGCTTGCCACCATCAGACGTTTTACCGGGTTTAAAAAAAAGGGATAAGGGTCAGATAGGGCCTCGAACTTGAAAAAAAATGTCAAAAATGGCCATATTTATGATGCTCTGTCCGGCCGACGTCATTTGGGGTGGTTCCCGGTGGAATTTTTTGATGAATTTTTTTGAGAATCTTATTCATTAAGTCTAGTTTACTCATATCAAATTTGAACTAATAATTCAATCGGGAAGGCATTCAAATGAATTCATGAAGATAACTGCGCTTTTAACGGTACAGTTATATTCAAGAATTCATTTGAATGCCTTCCCGATTAAAGTTTTAATTCAAATTTGATATGAGTAAACTAGACTTAATGAATAAGATTCTCAAAAAATTTCATCAAAAATTTCTACCGGGAACCACCCCAAATGGCGTCGGCCGGACAGAGCATCCTAAATATGACCTTATTTGACATTATATCTAAAAAAACGAAAGAACGATCGCAAATACTACTACACAATTTATAAAGTTACACAGTGATATAAATCTAATTAAAATTGATGACATCGTTAATTTTTTTAGCCAAATAAGTAAATGTATACGAAAGAAAAAATCATGTGTAATCAATTTCAAACAGTGTACATTTAAAATAAATTAAAAGTTCTACGACAAACTCAGAAGAAAATTTTCATTTACATAAAAAAGACAAGTTTTTCCTCCGACCTGCCTGTTATAGATTGACAAAATCAAAGGATCTAATTGATATGAAAAACATCCGGAAGTCATGACCACCTTTCAGGCCACATGAATCGTATGTTGAACTTCAAACAACACTTCAAAAAGCCCTGGCCTGATGCATCTTTCATGCATTTTCATAAAGATTGCCCACGATTGATCATCACAGCAATCTCATGAATCATTTCAGCCAATCAACCTCAAGAAACAAGGGTTAGAATAAAACGAAACAAAACAGAAAAATAAAATCAACCATCACCAAATTAAAGCTGTAGATTACTAAATCCATAGTAAGCGATATAAAGAGATCTTATAGCAAGAGAAATAAAGAGATCTTAGATCTATCATCTATCATAAATAAATGGGAAGTTTTACAGAGAGATAAATAGGGTGTTTTACCAAAATACGGGAATTCTCAACATCATTTGCCAAAATACGGAAAAAGTTTAGGGTTTTTAAAAAAGCGAAGGTCGGATACACCAATTCCGACCAGAAAAACTAGGATGTGCTCCTGTCGGATACACCACTTCCGACTAGTTTTTTTTTTCTTTTTCAAATTCTTTTTGATGAAGTGCTTTAACATCCGACTTGGCATGTGGTTTGGATGGTTTTTTTATTAAATAAAGTTAGTTTTTTGAATGAACTTCCGAATAATTTTTTTGCAATTTTTAAAATGAAAAATATACATTTTGATTTTTGTAATAACAAAACATTGATTACTATATATATTTTTTAATTCATTTGAATTGTTAATTAAATTCATAAAATGAAGTACAAATTTCATTTGTTTAATGGAAGTGAACAAAACAAATGTAGTTTTTAATGTAATTTATTAATAAATAGATATTACGTGCATACAATAATAAATTTAATACTACATCTAACGTTGCTTGCTCGGCCCTGGCATGTCACCGCCGCCAGTGCTCCAAAACCCCGGTGTGTCTTCAAAAGTGGAAAACTATGCATCTGACTATGTAGAGTACTGATAAGAACCATAATACAGCGGTGGTTCAAAAATTGTGAAATCTTGATGCGAAGAGAATTGTGATTCCTCACCCCCACCTTCATATTCAGCTGCATCACCCTCTTCCTCGTTTCCACCATCACCAGCATATTCATCTCTATCTTCATCAACGTGACCATGTGTGCGATCACGGCTGGGAGCATCTATTCGTCGATCAGGCGTAAGACGAGGGACGAGAGCGGGCTCATCTTGTGCATTCGGGTAAAGGAAAACACTCTGGTGGAGCATCATTTCATCACCTACATCCATGGCCAACCGCTCAAGCCGTTCTTTAATGTTTTCATAACCCGCCGCCTGGTTGGCGAGCTCGTACACATCGTGAAAGCCCTGCTTTTGCATAAAAATGTAACAAGTATAAATAATATGGCACAAAATATGTTAATGAATATGGTATGTATTCAATAACTTACCATAAGACCCCAATCACGTGCTGTCGGGGTGTATCCTGTCGTCGGCGCAACGTGAGAAGGGTTCCCCACACGTATCATCCCATGTCGCGAGTACCATTTTGGTACCTATCAGTCGCTGTGAGTATTCTTTGTTGTTCGTAATCCAGCAGGTATACACTATTCCGTCGGTTCGCCTACATTGTCAAGACAGATGTTGATACGGCAGAACGACTAGTGTGATGATCATTACCCTGCTTAGCGTCTTGTGGAATATCGAACATTATATAGTACTGCCGAAGAAATCGATCAGGGTAATGCCTTTCAGCCATATTGCAAAATATGAGCATCCCCTCGTATGCCCAAAGCTGGATGTCATCAACGCAGATATGTGGGAGTGTGTTGAACGGGTAGGGAAAGAAGTCAAACTGTAAATAGTAAATTTATAAGATTTTACTTTAAGTTTAACAAGTGTAAAACAATGTGTACATAAAATTGAATAGTTCGGTTGAAGTATAAATTCCGAGTACTACCTGACTCTCACTCATGCGATCTAAAAGGTCCCGGTACAAGCGTACACAGTGTCTTGGGGCATTCTTGTATGACTTGGGGACGATCCACCTACATTTGTTGATTACCAATATGAAGTTAAAAAATGAAACCACATAAAAAGTATTCTCAATTATTACGATCTAATTGCAAACATACCGACACCCATATGGAAGATGTTGATGTTGAATGACCTGGCGTAATTCTGGTAGGTACGGCGTGCCTGTAGGCAAAACGTGTACCGAGTTTCTGTTTTCGGTCTGTTTTGTCCCAAACCCGCCCGATTCGACCCTGAGGTGGCCCGCACCCAATCTCCATGACATATAACATCAATTTATGGACTAAACATGGACAAAATACAATTATGAAAGAGGTAATACCTGCAAAAGAATCCGGGTTAGCTCGAGCATCCGCCTCCGTCATCGCATAAACTCTAGCTTGAGTTCTTCCCTGATTCACGGACGGCGCATTGTTCGTGCTCGCTCCCCCTTGGCCCGCACTAGCATGAGATGCTCCGGCTTGGTTCCTACTCGCCGTGGTAACACCACTTGGTCCTGACCCCCGGTTCCCACCAAGTTGAGGGCAGTTTGGCTTAATATGCCCCGTATCTCCACATTGGTAGCACCGAGGGGGGTCACGACACTTACCCCCGTGGCTCCTGTATTTTTCGGACTGTTTTAAATACGGAGTATATTTTATTTTATCGGGTCGAATAAAATATATTATGTGTTCTTAATCATTATGACATCTAGAATGAATATACATTCCCCAACTTTAATTTATTAGTCTCCGAAATTCATTTCGGGTTGTTATCTGTTAAATTACCAATACCGGTATTTGGGCCTCTTTTGACCAATCGGTCAACTCCGGGCCTTTCCATGGCCCAAATGAAGTATCCACCACCATATGAATATTATCTAAATCAAGATGAATAAAAATATATGGTCTCGGGAATATCGGGCGGCCCCCGCTCCCGGTGTGGGCCCCACGTGGGAATTCACTATTCACGCAAAAGAATTAATAAAAATTCACAACTTCGTATATTCATTAACCATTCCATAAGGTTCAATACCTTATTCACTTAAAAGTAAATACATTTGGGGACGGTGTTACATCATTTAACTAATTATTACATGATATTTAACTAATCGAAAATACCATCTACAAATATTTAACTAATTTAAACTTTTAACTATTGAAGTTGGAGTGAAGTTGGCCGGATGTATAATTTCAAAAAATTAAAAAAAAATCTGTAACTACTTGTCGGATTTCCCAATTCCGACAGGAGGATGCTAATGACTTTTTTTTGGGTTTTAATTGATCCAAGTTGGCCTAATGTCTAATTTCAAAAAAAAAATCTATACCTTGTCGGATTTCCCAATTCCGACAGGAAGCCCTCACCCTAAACAATGCCCTACCCCTGGTCGGTACACGGAAATCCGACTCCCGCATTTTGGTAACCTAATTCCAATTCCCGTTTTTTGGCGTGTCAGACAAAAAAGTCCCGTGTTTTGGTCATTTCCTCAGATAAATAAAGGAGAAGAGAGAGAGTGGGGTGACAGGAAGAGAGTAAGCACACATAGCTTCAAGCATGGAAATCATGCAAGAAAACACCATTTGTGCTCACTCTCTTCTGTCACCTCCAACTTTACCCCTTTGATCTGCAGGCCAATTCTTTAATCATTCTTGACTTCTGATCTGATTCATGAATTATCAGGAAAAGGGATAGGATCAGGAGAAGAAATAACAAAACAACCCATAGAAATGGTTTTATCTAGAAAAAAGAGAGCCTCATATGAACCGTGGATAGATATAATAGAAAGCGGAGAAGATAAAGAGGCAGGATAGCAATAACTGTTACATTGGGAATAAGAAAGGATAACGTTGGAAGTGGTTTTGAGTTGATGTGCGGAAATATGAAACGGAGATGGGCATTATATAGGAAGAGAAAGGAAATATCGAAACGAATCAATTCAATGGTACCCACATTCGACAGCCTATACCCTAATTTAGTTTCCCTTTTAAATATCCCTTTCAGACCGGGCGCACCATTTCGTTTGGTTCGTACATGTAAACAAGTACTACTCGTCTATCTCTCTCATTTAAAAGATTCTATTTGATATCGGAGGGCTGCCCAGGTCGAGCCGGAGGGACTGGGTCCGAACTTCACTGTTTGGGGCGGTTTCCGTTCGAATTTTTCGATGAAATTTTTTGAGCATGTTCCTCATCAAGTCTAGTTTGTCCATACCAAATTTCAGGTCAAAATTCGATCAGGAAGGCAGTCAAATAAATTCTTGAAACTTACTGCACTTTATATATGCGCAGAATGTGCAGTAAGCTTCAAGAATTCATTTGACTGCCTTCCCGATCGAATTTTGAGCTGCAATTTGGTATGGACAAACTAGACTTGATGAGGAACATGCTCAAAAAATTTCATCGAAAAATTCCACCGGGAACCGCCCCAAACAGTGAAGTTCGGACGGCTGCTCCCGTCCCTCCGGAGGGACCTGAGCATTTCTGTTGATATCGTGCTTGTTTGGCATTTAGAGATTAGGGTTTAGCACGGATTATGTTAATAGAGGGTTGTCAATAGCAGGTTATGTTCACAGGTTTTTTGATAGCGAATTGTTTAGTAAGTGGGTTTGCCTAGCAGAATAAGTTATTGGTGGGTTATCGAAAGATGTTTGATAATTTTGTTATTTGGCCATAATTTTTTTTAGTACAAAACACCATTTGCAAACGCTAAACCGAAACTCCATCCCTTGAATTAATTAGAGGCTTGATTAACTAGAGATGCAATCCCCGTCTCCCGTGCATAATTCGAACCAACCAAAGAAGAAAGAAGCTCCATGAGAGTCTCACAAATTCAAGGAAGCAAGAAGAAAGGAAATCTAGGAGAAAAAGCTAGAAGATGAAGTAAGAACCCAACTAATAATATCCATTAACTAATATTTATTCCATATTTTAAATAAATCATATATTGGATTAAACAAGGGAAATTTACCGGGATGTGATTAAAACTCAATGAGTTTCTCAATCTATGACCTAACTAGTTTTTATACCTTTGTATGACCGAAAATCCAAAAAAAAAATAGAAAATTCATTTATATTTAAATGCTGAATGACGAAAAACCCTTATTTAAAATATGTGCATTTTGCACTAATTTCGTCCAATTAAAATTATTGCACTTTATATTGCTGCTAAGGCACAAAATTAATGCACGTCTTTACTGCGCATGTGGTAATAATCACTGCACTTCCGCAAATTTAATTCTCTTCTCATTCACTTGAGGAATTTGTTTTTTTTTTTAGATTTAATAATTTTATTATTTTACATCTCATTAAGTATATTGTGTTTCATGGTGAAATTATTTTTATTTTACTGCACTATTGGTCATAATCACTGCACAATAAACTTCATTAATGCATTCATTTACTGACATGTAAAACATATATATTGCCATATTCACGATCATGTTCACTGTCAATGTCCAATGCTCAAATTTAATACCCGCAAACCCTAAATTCACTCACAATACTCAACAATATCTATTATGATTTCACTGCCGATATTCATCGCGCATATTTAATGCCCACAAATCCTAATTTTAGACTCCTAATTTCAAAAGGGAAAAGGCAAAAATGTGAATGAAGGGCCACCTAGTAGCAAATCTAAAGCAGTGGCCTACTACGTGTCTAACAAATCTAAAGCAGTGGCTTAATTTGAAGAGATAGGAAAAGAAGAAACTCACAAATCCTAATTTCAAACAAAAAAAAGAAGAAGAATGGAAATTGTGGTTCTTACGCAGGTCCACTACGTACCCACATATATACTTAACAAATTAATTAAATCTAAATGCTATCTTATCCCCCACCTACTCGAGCAACCAATTGCGTCGTTCCACACAATTTATACCTTATCTCTTGACAAAATGACTATATATGGGTAAAGTTAGGGACTCTGTTCTTCTTGATTCGCTGGAGACACAGAGTTGCAGACCAAGAGGAGGCTGAAATCGACGACAGGGAGTTGTAGAGGGCGGCGCAGTGGCCGTGCGGCTGGGCGGCGGCGGCTGTGCGGTTGGGAGGCCGTGCGAGCGGCTAGGTTTGAGAAAATGATTTGGCTATTAGGGTTTTATAATAACAATTTAAGGGCATATTAGTCCATAAAAATATTTATTTAATTATTTATTAATATGTTAATTAATTAGGACGAATTTAACTAGTATTTTGGGAAATAAAGTAATAAGGTCATAGATTGAGAATGTGATGGAGTTTTACTCATACCTAAGATAATTATCTCATTAAAAAATGATTTGTACACCTTTAAAAGCTGTAGAATATTGATATTATAAATAGTTCGTATTTAATTTAGAAGAGTCATTGAATTGATAGGAGTTGAAATGGTCGGAAATCGCCAAGAAAAGAGGGTTGTCTCGTGTTGTAAGGGCCAAAAGATGCCCACCTTTTGCAAAAGCTGCCCGACTTTCGCCTTCTGTCCAACTGGTTCGCTTTTGATAGGTCTAGCACCGGGATAGACTAAAGGTCTTCGCAAAGGCAGTTAGTTTAGCACATCACAGGGTGATGATGGCTGACTATATTGCTTATAATTAGATGATGGATCTTATAAAATTACCAATAGAGTTTAAGCATGTTTTTTATGGATTATTAAATGATTAATAATGCCTAAGAATGATATATAATATTAGAATAAATTGTTTTATTATATGTTATGAATATAATGACATGATAGTTGAATTAACTATGAAATTTTGTGATAAAATATACTTTTTACTTCATGTTAAGAATACATGAATGGATAAAATTAATACGATGAATATTGAGAACAAATTATATTCTTATTTGAAAATCAATTTGAATTGCCTATATGACAATAAATTGAGAACATTATTGTTCTGATATTTATTCGAGTAGTATTAAGATACTAATCAGCGGAATGTTAATTTGAATTATGATAGAATTGATCCCAAGGTTGGATTGTGAGAGATTGTGCCTTAAGTAGTCCTAAGAGATACTTTAAGTGGAAATGTATGAACTCTAAGTTATATTAAGGATAGGCGTTAAAGGCTACTCAAGATAATTTAATTCTAGGCATGGAACTTGTTTAAGGATTAAATAATGGCGATTAAGAGCGGGACTCTAGCGCGACATAATGGTGACTAGGCGTGAGGCTCCAGCACGGTATAGTGATGACTAGAGTGAGGCTATAGCATGGTGTGGTAATGTAATAGAGCGGGGCTCTATGATACTGCAATAATGTACTAGGGTAAAACCCTATGACGGCGTAGTGAACTACTAAAAGTTTTATGATGATCGTGATTGGATCCAAGGGGAATAAGGAAAGACGTTTCAAAATTAACAGGGGTCCATGCACGAGTTCGTCTATAGCAAAATAACAACTTATTTAAAATTAATTCTGACTATAATGATACGAAATACACAATTATTATAAATAAATAAAAAAGTATGTTTATATGTTTTAACTTTTATTATATAATGGTAGTTTGCATGGACGGATCTAAGGGAGGGCGCGGGGGGCGACTGCCCCCTTGGACTTTCAAAATTTTCTACTATATATGTAGTATTTTCATAAAATTTTCATACTTTTATTAGATACATATGTTTTCGCCCCCCTTAACTTTTAATTTAAAAAATTAATATATAGCCTTACATCGTGTAAAACTTAATTTATGTTTAAAAGAAGTAAAATAAAAAACCATTTACATAAAATAATTAAATAGTTTAAGACTTCGGATACCTATTATATAAATTAAAATTCCTAGTTTTGTAATGTTTAACTATCTTTATTAAATGATTAGCACTCAATTTTGTAAAATATTAAACGATATTATATACTAGACACACTAGTTAAACAGTCTTTAGATCATGTGAAGTAAATTGAAAATATAAATATTTGTTGGCATTGAATTATAGATTCATTTACTTCTTACTTTCTAAAAACAATTAATTGCATAAATTATTTTTTTTAATATATTATGCACCATATATATGAATTAAAAATATTGCGTATAATATTAATCTAATATTGTAATATTAAGGAACCTTCTCATGACCCATGAACATCCTCCTTTATAGACAAAAATTACAATTCAAAAACTTATTCTTTATTTTGATAAGATTCATGTGGTTAAAGAAGGTAGAAGTTGTTTAAAAAGCATTGGTCGATGTGTACCTTTTAAACTTTTTAGTTTCCAATAATTGGATAAAATGTTATATATCCTTTTCTATTTTCAAATAATTTTTTATTTGCCATTTTTTACGCTTTAGTATCAATACTTTTTTTCAAGAGCACTTACGGTTACAAAATAAAAGTTATTTTTTCACGAATTAAACTTAGAATCCAATAGGTTTAAATGTGATCATATATGTACTAATAGAATTTTTTGAATAAAAATAAGAGGCATAACCCTCCACTAACAAAAAAAAAATTGTCCCGCTACACTAGAAAAAAAAATCACCCCGCTACATTAGCGGAAAAAATTCAGCCCGGTAGACAAGCGAAAAAATTTCCACCCCTACAATAACGAAAAAATTTCGCCCCACTTGAGTTAAAATCTTGGATCCGTCCCTAGTAGTTTGTAGGAAAAATGAAAATGTTAATTCGTATAAAATATTGCAAGTAAATTTAAAATAAAGGATAAGATGTACGAATAAGTACTACTTTATAATAAAATACAATGATTCCAAAACTATCATATGTGTTGGCACCGTACAAAAAGAATCATAACTTTTAAAAAATTACCAATAATATTGATAGCGCGACTCTCTTAATCACGTATATAAATGCTCAACTCTCGCCTTGAGGTGACATTTGAATGACAACATACAACTGACTCCCTAAGATAATCATTGGCATGA